CCACTAGCTGATGGGAACCATTAGAAAAAGTCATGTTAATTATTGTTTTCTCGTCAATAAAAAAAATATTTTAAAAAATGCAAGATGCTTTCTCATTGTCTGAATTTAAAAACAAGGTTACAAAGACAGTTTGTGTGAAGACACAAACTCAAAAACGGCCCCCCAAAGTGGTCCACTTAGAGTCTTCACCTGGATTCGAACACGGAACTTCCGGTTCCAAGTGCTTTAACCCTCAGCCACAGCTTCTGCATTTATTTATTTAGCGTACACTTATATTTTTTTTAAATAATAATTATCAACCTTATCCATACATTTAAAATTAATAACATGTTACATTGTAATAAAGAGAAACTAAAAAAGATTTATTCTTCTAACAAAATTAGATAAATTGGCAACACGAAAAAAAAATTCTTGACCTACTTTAAGCTATAATTGTGTACACATGACTACAAGACTTTCCCTTTGCAAATAAAGATGGATACCCCCTAGTGTAGGCCCCTATAATGAGGATATTTCTAAGTTGTACATTATAAAAGTAGTTCGTTAGTTTTGAAACTATTAAAACGAAGTTCGTATCAGAATTTTTTTTGAAAAATAACACTTGAATCTATTCTATTCAATAAATGGAAAATATATTTTATAATGATTCATTGACACTTTTACTATCGTTACCTTAGATGCTAATTTTTTGTACCAATGCTCGAATTTATGAATGAGGCTTGAGTTATTAATGAAGAATTCCATGACCTTTTTTTAAAAAAAAGTTACCTCCCCTGTAGTTTTTCATTGAAAAGTGGTGTAATTTTTTGAAAAATCTGCTTGCATTTCAAAAACGTGATGGTTCACTTTCGGAAAAGAAAAAAATAGTCTTTGCATTAGAACTTTGAAAGATCTGAAATATCATGATGTCCGATTTTCATTTTATCTTCTATTTTCTAAGATCTAAGTGGGACGGACGAACGGACGGACATACGGACAGATAGACCACACAAAACTAATAGCGTCTTTTCCCCATTCGAGGGCCGCTACAAATACATTTTTTTTTAAATCGTCTGGTTTGTATGACGTCTCTGCTAATCAGAGCCAAGATATGATGAAAATAAACCTATAAGCATTACATTTCTCTTTCTCTCTCTTCCTGCACTGTTGTGGACCTGCCTTGCGGGTGTGATTTCGAGACGAGGGACGTAATGCTGTAACGCTCTCAACGATAGGTAGCGACTTGAAAAGAGACAGACGAAGAAACAACAAAAGAGATCTATAATGTAACTGAATATTTTAAAAACGATGTACCTGCTAATAGTACCTCAATCTACCAGACAGATCGATAAATCAACCAGACAGATCAATCAATCAACCAGACAGATCAATCAATCATCCAGAAATATCAATCCATCAACCATACAGATTAATCAATCAACCAGAAAGTTCTATCAATCAACCTGACAGATTAATCAATCAGACAGCTGTCAATCAATCAGAAAGATCAATCAATCAACATGAAAGATCAATCAATCATACAGATCAAACAATCATCCTGACAGATCAAGACAACGTGTTTGCGTCCAATCCTATGGACCGTAAAGACGTCCGTCTACATGCCAGTGCCTACGATAAGAACTTAAAGAATGAAAGCCGGAAGACCATCTCTAATGCGTAACCCTTGATACCACTTTATAAATTTGGGTCCCAACAAAGGCACAGACAGAGAAGACATTGCCTGAAGAGGGAACTCAAATCTTGATAACTTGCAACTCATGCGGCGCCTCGAATGAAGAGATACCTGCACATGTGTGGCAGAAGTGATACCTGCAAATGTGTGGCAGAAGAGATACCTGCAAATGTGTGGCAGAAGAGATACCTGCAAATGTGTGGCAGAAGTAATACCTGCACATGTGTGGCAGAAGAGATACCTGCAAATGTGTGGCAGAAGTAATACCTGCACATGTGTGGCAGAAGAGATACCTGCAAATGTGTGGCAGAAGTAATACCTGCACATGTGTGGCAGAAGAGATACCTGCAAATGTGTGGCAGAAGTAATACCTGCACATGTGTGGCAGAAGAGATACCTGCAAATGTGTGGCAGAAGTAATACCTGCAAATGTGTGGCAGAAGTAATACCTGCACATGTGTGGCAGAAGAGATACCTGCAAATGTGTGGCAGAAGAGATATCTGCAAATGTGTGGCAGAAGAGATACCTGCAAATTTATGGCATAAAGATACCTGCAAATGGATGGCAGAGAATAAACCAGCAATTTGACTGGCTGACTTCCTGTGGGATCATAAATCCCTTATAAAACGTTTAATAAAAAGGTCGCGGCATCTCAGAGCTACGCCCCTGGGAACTCTAACAGTGACCGACACTAACTCCCTGTGGGTTTGGTGTCTGGCGTCATTAGGGAGGCGAATCAAAGGCGGCATTGCTCCAAGAGAAGAGTGGCCAGCTGATGGGGGAGAAAGCTGACGCCCGCAGGGCACAGCGTAGAAAACTTCGTGGGGAGTATGCAGAAATCATAACAAACTTACCAAAATACATAATGAAAGGAAACAGGAGTAACACACTTCGGGCTGTCATTTTGGAGATGTGATTCAACTGTGTCGACTTGAATCTGTGTGGTGTCTGAAACGGACTGTCTTTAAATACACCTTGTGTTCTGGGGGTTACACACAAAAGCTAGATACATGTTTATTTCATTGCCAGTCAGAGTATTTGAAGGTGATTCCTCGTCGCCAAGAAATACATACATGTTTGATACAGAAAGAAGTGGCTATGCGTGTGTGGAGATTTTCTGTTGTGTTATTTGTGTTTGTGTCTAAACTGTTACTGTTGTTATACCAATTTCGAGTTAGCCATTGTAGACAAACTGAATTTCTATTTGTTTGGACCGATAAATAAATCTAATTTAACCGTAGAAAAGGCCTGCTTTTCTTGTCAAGAGATAGAGAATAAAGTAGTCTTTTGTAAATAGAGACATGCGCACTTGAGGAATAACACAAATAGTGACGTGGCACCATTGGCGTAGCAAGAATTTTTTTTGTTAATATATATATATATATATATATATGTGTGTGTGTGTGTGTACATAATTAATATTTACTAGCCTACATTCTGACCCTTCATGCTTTCGGAAGACGTTTATTGTACCCTAGTATAGATTCTTCCTGGAGTTAGTGGAAATATTATAGACTCCCCGCCCTTGCCAGCAAGGGGGTCTGGGGGATCGCTGAGAGCCCCGCCGCCAAGCAGTATTTCCGGTATTGAAAGCCAACAAAATGCATATTCTAAGGTATCTACAGTGTATTATCCTGCTATTAAAAGCTTTTTTTTTTCAAAAAGCTAATGTGCTATTCTTACTGACTTAGACCCTCCCGCACCGTTCGGCACATTGGGCGACAAGCTGTTTCCACAAAAGTCTGTCTCTGACAATGTCTGAAGCCTCTTCCCAACTGCTCTGAGGACCTCCATGAAAGTGTGGCGCCAAGTTGTACTTAGGATGTCCTTGTTTGCGCTTTTCGTAATGGCATCCATGTCATCGCAACTCATATTATGCGTAATTCCTTTTGTCAGAGACATGTCCATCAAACATAATGCGAAGCTCTGTCACAAACTTACTGAGGGGTCGACTCCCAGTTCGGCATAGGATTTCCTTGATTGAGACCCGATCTCTATAACTGAATCCTAAAATCCGTCTTAGCGATCTTTGTTGAGCCACATTTAGTCTTTTTCAATTTTGGTAGATGACTATTCACTGCACTTTATTAATGGAGCCCAGACACTGGTAGAAATTTGTAACCTCTCTTGGCCACGCTCTTGGAATCAGGTAACTGTAGTTTGCTTTAGATTTTATTTCCAAAAGGGCAGTTTTATCGTCAAAATCATCTATTGGGGGGTTTTAACCTAAAAAAAAATTTTTTTTAACAAATTCAAAACCCCCTTAGCTATACGCTCATAGAATTTAGTGACTGTAGTTTGCTTTAAAATATTATTGAAGAGAAAGGTTTTCAACCTCAAAACTCTCTGTAGGGGAATTTTAAAATCAAAGCCACCTGGAGGGGTTTTAGACCTAAACAAAAGCCCTCTGGAGGAGGGGGGTTAAACTCAAAACCCCCCTTGACTTGGCTAGGCTCAGAATTTTTAGTGTGTAATTTGCTCTTTTTTTTTATATTGAAGAGGTATTTTTTTTGGCTACAAACACGCTGGAGAGGGTTTAAACTCAAAACACTCTTTGGCGACGCTCTTAGAATTTTGAGTGTGTATTTTGCTTTTTTAAAAATATATATTGAAGAGGCATTTTTTTTTGGCTTCAAACACGCTGGAGAGGGTTTAAACTCAAAACACTCTTTGGCGACGCTCTTAGAATTTTGAGTGTGTATTTTGCTTTTTTAAAAATATATATTGAAGAGGTATTTTTTTTGGCTACAAACACGCTGGAGAGGGTTTAAACTCAAAACACTCTTTGGCGACGCTCTTAGAATTTTGAGTGTGTATTTTGCTTTTTTTTTATATGAAAGAGGTGGTTTTTAGCTGCAAACCCCGCTGAAGAGGGGTTTTAAACACAAAAGCACTCTTGGCTACGCTCATAGAATCTGGTGACTTAAAAATTGAAGTCTTATATTGAAGAAGGGGGTTATCGTTAATTTCAGAGGTGGTTTTAAAATCAAAATCTTCCATAGCTATACTCTTAGAATCTGGGGATTGTCATTTGCGTTAATCTTTTTGGTTTTGTTTTATAGAAGAGGGGGGATTCAACTGCAAAACTCCCAGGTAGGGGGTTTTAAACTCAAAACCCCCTTAGCTGCACTGGCACTAGTGATGGTTTAGTATTAAAACCTAAAATAAACAAAAATCAAAGCTAAAAATCTGTCACTAAACTCCGACCTTAAGGGGGGGGGGGGGGGTTGAAACAACTCCCCTGGCTACGCCCATGTCACACATAGTCTGCCAACAGTATTGGAGTAGAAGGAATGCAAACAAAATGAAAAACCCAAGTCATGGCATGTATGGTGTGTTCACAACATCAATATGTCTCCATTTATTGGACTGCAAACAAGAGTTGGCCAAAACAAGGAAAAACAACACATTAACTACAAATTTATTTCATGAATTTTTAAAATCACAAATTTCAAAAACAAAATTCGAAAGAAATGTCAATGACCTGCAAAGAACATCAACTCATGTCATCCAACACGCCAGTTGTTATACACACTATATCCAGGTCTTGGCACTGAAGAAACTGTTTCATAAGTTAAACAAGGTGTAGAGAATTGTCTAGGTCAAAATGACATTCTAGTAGTTGATCAAAAACTGAATGTTTAATTCGTTAACTTTTAATAATAAAAAAAATGCAACAAATCAATAAATTACTGCATTGATGGATATATATATACTTCTATAGCTTTAACATCTGTCAATAAAAAAAAATGACATTCAAAGTTTGTATTCATTTGTAATTAGTAAGATTTCAAAAGGAGTTTAAAAAAACAACAATTGTATCTATTACATTGGTGTCAGCACAAAGGTAAGGTGTCCAGATGATTGAAGTGCTGCTATCAAGAATGTTGAAGTTGATCACTGAAGTTCTGACATCAAATGGGGTAAAACATACGACTAGAATACATTTTTTTTTTTTTTTAACAGTTTGGATAACAACCCCCCCTAAAAAAAATAATTACACATCATTATTCCGACAAAAAAAAAATTTATAAGGAAATTGAGAAAAAAAATGGCATTTCAAATTACAGTGGAGCTTTTCGCCAGCGAGAAAGCAAATTAAATGTTTCAGGGGAAGTAACAAATCATTACAAGCTTATTTTTTGGGGGGAGTGACGTGGACTTGATCTCAAACTTGTGAAAACAGTCAAAATAATAGAAATAAAAAAATACAAATACATTCTAAGAATTTATTGACACAGATCAAGAAAATTTCAAGATTAAAAAAAAAACACAACAGACCTGGTGAGAAGGACAAATTGAAAAGGATTTCTTTGTGTTTAATCTTCAGGATTGTCTGGCATTGTCAAAAAGTGTTTAAATTGGAGCATAAGGCATATAGTTTCAGATTGCTTGCTAGAATGAATATTGACAGCATTATTTTAAGGACAGGTTGAGTTTACAGTCATATGTCTGAATGACTTTGCATGGACATGCAGTGTGGATGTGAAACAATATATGGAAAGACAACATTGACCTCTCCTCTAGATGTGCTGCTGTTTCTTTTGAAAATTAGGCTCACTCACTGTCCAATGGAGCCTAGCATATGACTATTAGAAAACAAAAGAAAATTTCAAAACAAAAATGACTAAGAAACAAATGTGACAAAAATAGCATATCAGTAAAGCTCACATACCTGTATTTCAAAAAGCATCTTCTAAATCCCTCAATAGATGTTAACAGTGAAACAGATTCTGCTCTTTAATAATACAATAGACAAATGACACACGAGTGTTTAAAGTAGATGAAGCAACTTGAACTAAAGGCTACACTAAATTAACAAAGCCAAAATTTACAATTACCTGTGACATTAAGTTCAGACTATGTTCAGATAATAGTAGCCAAGTCAAAATGTTTCTGAGGAGGGGGGGGGGGGGGGGGGGGTGTTCCAGATAATTTCAGCCCCTGTCAGTTTTATTTATGTCATTAGCAGAATACAATTTTTACCCTCAGGTGACTGTCAGGTCAAGATGGAGTATCACAAAGTGTTTGTTTCTTTTGGATTGAACTCTTTGGCTTAAAAGAAAACATTGGAGCAACAATGACTAATTACAATGCCATATAATTTAGTGCTAGTTTCATTTTGTTTTGTTTTTTTATTAAAAAATGTTTTTTTAAAAAAAAGAACAAAAACAAAGGCCAAGGCCATGAAAACTATCTCCTTACTTTAGACAGAAGTGAGGATTTCATCAATTATATGTGTGGAGAGATATACAATGAAAGTAGAAGTAGACTTCCTGGTGGATTTGTTTCAATTGAACTCTAAATCAAGAGAGACGACCACCAAACTTATTTTCTTTTCTTCAGACCAAAATACAATAGATGAACATTTTTGTCCATATTGAAAAAGAAAATTATATAGGTCTGTGTATCCAACTCATTCACAAGCTCAACAAACACAAAATAAAAATCAAAGCTAAAGCAACTGAAGCAAAAAGCTATATTCTATAAATAGATTTAAAAGAACTGAACATCAAAGAAAAGGGAAGCCACTCTAGGCTTTCACCAGAAATGGCTTGAAGGTAGAAAAAGAGTACAAACTAATGGATAAGGCTATAAGTTCTTGAAGCTTGTAATTGATAGATCAATAGAAAGATTTTTAAAAAGTAATTATAGATAGAAACACTGGAATACATGTTATGCAAACAAACAAATGAAAATATTTATTTAAAAAAATAACAACATAAAATGAATGAATAAAAATAAAAAAAAGATACATGTCAATATTTCAAGTGATTGCTTTAAATGGGCACTTGGATAGACTCAAGGGAAGATGACTTCAGTGATTTTTTTTTTTTAAATTATTAAATCATATAAGATTTTAAAATCACCATTACCTTTGCCTTTTTTTTTTAAAAAAAAAAAAGTTATTTTCTGTTGATGAAATGGGAATGGTATAGTAGTTACTAGTTTGGCAGAGATGCCAAAGATCTTTAGTAAAAGACCAGCCATCGCAGAGAACACATAAGAAACTTGGCATATTATAAATATTTACTTATGTAACGGCTGTTGCCTGTGTTTACTTATATACTTACATATATATATATATATATATATTCTCAAAAAGAGATATATTTATTAAAAAAAAACAAAAGCAAAAAATACACTGTCCAAATCTTTGTTCAAATTTACAAACCAAGCACAGAAGGCTTAAACTCAAACTGGGGGTTAAGTTCATAAGAAAGCCGACATTCTGACTGCAAAAAAAAGCAATGCTCCCAACAAAAAAAAGATTTGTATGTTTCAAAACAGTAAATTAAGCTAAAATGCAATGCCAAATCAAACAACAAAATAATGGAGAAAGAAACAGGTGCTTCAAGGCAAACACTAAGTGTCCAAGTCAAAACCACAGCCACAACATATTGTTCTACTCATGAAAGCGACAGAATAATGAGTCTAGATTAGTTAGGTTTCTATCAGATCTTAAGGTCAAGTGTAATTCAACGGTGACTAAATGTTACTTCCAAGGACATAAGAGATGTCCACAAATTGTCTGCCTAGCCATCTTTTGCAATTTTTTTTTTACTTTTCATGTATGGAAGTAAAGTAAGTTTGATCAGTTATTTCGGGGGGGGGGGGAAAAAATCCTTTAGTACAATTTATATTCTAAGATACCTTACACACAGTCTAGATAAGTCTAACAGATACTGATTAATCATACCACCTGTTCATTGCACAAGATCTCAAGTATAGAAATGTATTGTATTCATGTAATCTAACTGAATTCAGATGTGGTAAGGTTAATCTTAATCTACTGAGCTGCATCCTGATGACGTATGGTTAATCTTAATCTATTTGACTGCATTTTGATAAAAGGTTAATCTTAATCTACTGAGCTGCATTCTGATGAAGTATGGTTAATCTTAATCTATTAGACTGCATTTTGATAAATGGTTAATCTTAATCTACTGAGATGCATTCTGATGAAGTATGGTTAATCTTAATCTATTAGACTGCATTCTGATGTGGTATGATTTTAACCTGAATTGAACTTAACTTCTCAACTTGTGGAGCACTAATTCATGTAGGAAATAAAACAACTGCTCCTTGAATTAGCTAATTAGGTAAAGGTAGACATCAGTACAAGATTGGTTGAGATAGAAATTGCTTCACTCATTTACCTTACATAATTAATTTTTTTTTTCTTAGGGGATAGAAAAAAAAATCTTCCTTTAAGTTTTTGGCAGAAAATAAAAAAAAAATTCTTGTCTTATATTCAAAAACTAAATTCTTTCATTTCTCAAAGTGTTTGAAGCTTGTAACAGAAACAATGATGAAGTATGAAATATAGTTCAAGGTTCATGACATACTGTAGGATACAACCAATACCTATATAAATAAAAGCTGTTTTGTTTTTCAAAGTAGAAACATACAGAAGATTATGTAGGAATAACATCCAGATATTTACATATAAAATAGATTTATTTTATCAAAATAGATTCTGAACACATCCATAGACAAAAAAAAATACAACATCATACATCAGTGTGCACCTCATTTCGAACAGTAGAAATAAACAAAAGACATCAAACAGACATTTTTGAAATGGCAAAGGAATGGGGCATGAGGGGGGGGGGGGAGTTTTGATTCAGTTGTTCACAGCCCAATTGATATTTTAGTGGAGTGTGCAGCAAATGTCCTGCATATGATGAGGTGACGGCTAAATTTCCGATGACACCGTTGGATGAAGTGGCAAAACCCTGTCTCTCAAGGGTTGGCGGTAAACATCCAGCCCAGTTGTGGCCAGTTTCACCGGCTCACAAGCTTATGTCTAGGCTCCAAGCCCAATGTCTACTGCAATAGAGAGCCCTGTAGCTTGTTGAGGGGTGGACTGGACTGAGGGTAGCTTGTATCTAATATTCAAAAGAATTTTTAAAAAAAAGAAAACCCAGAAAAACTTGTATACTTTGATAACCCAGCATCTTAATACACAGAAAAAAAATATTTTAATCTGCTTGTAGTTAGATCCCACATGGAAGAATGTTTCAAACATGCTAACCCAATCACAAATGGAAAAGGCAACCGAACGCTCAGTCAATGTTTGCCAACTGCTAAGTTGAAACTCTGCATTCAAACATTGACAGCTTAGGGGTTGAAAGGAGGCAGGATCCTAAATAAAGCCCAAAAGAAACATCCTAAATTGAAGACTCAAGTCAAGTGACAGAATTACACGGCCAGTAAAAACATCATCAATGCATGTAATAAAGAAATTGATGGAAAGAAACACATCATATATATATATATATATATATTAATGTCATTTCTATATATATATATATATATATATATATATATATATCAATGAAGACATTCAATAGATGATAGCATAGTCAAGACCACAAATATAAGGCCTTACAGAAACTGAGTTTTCATACAATATAAAAACATTTAAAAAAAAACAAATGACAATTTTCAATGTAAAAGAAGTGTTGCATCAATAGAAATTTTATGGCAAAAGTAATACAAATAAAAACTCTGGCAAATTTGAAGTTGACTTGACTATCTGGTTCAGACTGAGCTGCAGATATATACCAATGTTTTGATATTTTGCTAGACACTTCTCTTGGCAGTTTGATTTTCTCTAAGTATAGATAAAATGTCAAAGCTTTTAGTTTTGTCACAACCAAACATTGTTCAAGAATGAGCAGAAGCAAGTTAGGGAAGAATTTTTCAAAAGGCAGTGGAATCTAAATGCTCAAATCTTGTAGACATATTCTCTTCATATTGCTTTAGAAGTTCATAGTGACTAAAAAAATAACTAAGGTTTGGTACCGGTTCAACTTCGTGACGTTATGAAACTATTCAATTAATTTATGTAATGATACCTCATAGAAGTTCTCAAAACTCAGGACTAAATGTTATATTAAAAAAATGGTCAAAAAAAAAGTTTTCGGTTTATTTAAAAACTATACTTAGTTGCAATGTAGAATATAATCATGATTAAAAAATAATTTGAAAACAGCCAAGATGTGACAAAAAGGTCATTTCAGTTAGGGTATGTTAAGAAAAAGGTCATTTCAGTTAGGGTCCGTGGGCTGGATACAATGAAAAGAAGAAGGTTTTGAAATGACATAAGTCTAATCAGTTCTCTTGCTTGTGTGAGACTTAACAGTGAGCAGTCTTCATCCAGAGTCAAAACAAAAAAAAAAAACACTTAAATTCAATCAGCATTAAAAACTTATGTGTTCAAAATAAGCCAGAACATGTTTGGATGAAAGCACTTAAAACACCCAAACATAACCAACTAATAAACCAATGCTTTAATGCCACGTCTACTATTATTAGCTGTATGGCATACAATGTATCTCTGTTTAATACTAACTACTAGCTGCATTCAAATTTTGGCTGTCCAATGGAAATGACCCTTACAAAGGACTAGAGAAAGGCTAAAAGGTCACAACTTGAAGTTCACAACATATGAATCGTACCAAATGAGCACAAACATTTTTAAAGCTCTGAGACTAATTGTTGAATCCACTTAAAGAGTTGCATACTTACAAAAGTACTTTGCTAGACCCTGTTCAGCTTAAGATCAACCGACCATTTCTTGGCCATCAGAGGTTCTAACTTTTAAAGTGTGTAACTCTTATGATGTTAAACTAATTTTGTACTGAACTGTTGAAAACTGCAGGAGGTCAATATCCAATTCCAAAAATGACCGAAAAAAATCTGCTTCAATCAACTTACAAAAATGCAATAACAACAGGATGAACCAAACAAAATCTGGTATTTGAAGTAAAAAAAAAGACTTGGAAAGTAGACAGTATTAAGAAACTATCATAATGTTGCATTCCATTTAATATTTCTTTTGTTCACATGTGACACATGTCCATCTAACATTTTAACACCCCCTCCCCCTATACTGGTTTGATTGTTACCGCTTGT